AAGCAGTTTCTGTTTTATTTACTGCACAGTAGAACAGCCACAGTGGATTAGCTCTACAATACCCGTAACAAAAGCACAACAGCTGATGCATGTGATGTTAGGAGGTGACAAAACAGTTAAAGTATGCTGCTGGCTACAGGCAAGCAGTCAGCAGATGCAGACAAAAGGGTTTGTGACAAGAATAACTCTCTCTCCAAGGCGAGCAGTCAAGAGTATCCAAAATACCAATACCCTTTTCTCCTTGACATTGTCTTCTTACAGTCAGCATTTTATTGCCCTTTTATAGTAAAAAAACAAAAAACAATTCTCTGGAATATCGGTTTTAGCTTGACTTTCACAATTCTGCAATCTTTACATCTGTATTGCTTTTTCTATCATCTAGGTTTACCACTTGAGCAAGAATTTTTGAAAGTTTAAAAGATTAACTGTAAAGAAGCCCACTCTTAATAGGATTAAAGACATGAAATACACTTATAAATCTTCGAGCAGACCGGTGGCTTGTTTTGTCATTTGGTTTTGGTGGTTTTCCCCTTTTCTATTAAGAGAGAATTAAGCATCTTATTTTGCTAATGAAGAAATAAGGCTCGGGTAGAAACGGAAGGTTTGCTTGACAATGGGAGAGATTTAGGTGCTGGAAAGGGACTGTGAATGAGCTGATGTTTATTTCAGAAGTGTGAAAAATCAGCTTATATATCTCCAGAAGAAAAAAAGAGAGAGAGGGAGAGAGGCTGTCTTCTTTCTAACCTTTGTAATTCCCCTTCTATTCTCTGTGACATTCATTCAGCTGCCAAGCATGTTTGGCAAGGCTTGAGCCAGTGAGCGCACTTCCAGTGACCGCTAACCTTGGTATGTCCTGACACTTATGATGAGTATCTGCAGGACACAGAAGGCAGGCAGGCTGCTATGTCAGGCTTTTATTATGTACTGCAGAGGCTGGGGACAGTCAGTTTAATAAAACAAATCATCCTTGAAGGTAAAGCAACTGGGAAGAGGAGGAGGGCTCGGGGAGGGGAGGAGATGAGGAGAACGGGAGGGAAGGGAGAAAAAGTCTTTGCTGCACAACCCCAAAAATAAATGAGTTAACTGATACAAGACAACCCAATAATGAGAAAAACAGTGAAGGGCCACTGATTGGCCACCAACTTGAGACACTTGTCTACTTCTAGTGTCCCCTCCTTCCCAATGGTGATTTTTAAAGCCCATTCATGCCACCAGAAAGGGAAGCCTTATCCTCTTTGTTGGCTTAAAATCAGTGTTGCTTCACTGATTTTCCTTGAGCAATGCTGACTTAGACCTGCTGAGGATCTGCCCTCACCTTCCCAGTCACCGCTGACTTTTTGGTAATGTTTTCCTTGAAAAGAAATTCAACAAGTATTTTTAAATCATATCACTTTCTGCAGCTGCGTATGCGTCTGTACCAAGGAAGCGTGAGTTAGGTCTGATTTGGCTCCAACTTTTGAGCCATTGGAACTATACTTTTACTCACATACAAATAGTTTGTGCTGAGTATTTTTAACAAAGCACTCCCCTACAGTGCTAATCCACATGGTTCAGCATGGTAGTTGCATATGCAAACCCAGGAATGAGATAGTTCAGGTTTGTTGTTCAAGCCAAGGAAAATGACAGTAGTTAAACCAGCATAAATAGACAAGGCAGATGAGAGCTTTAATTCCCTCCCAGTTTTCACAGACGAAGGGGATGTGTTAACGTGGCTAAGGCTTGAGAAGGGGCACTGTGGTGGTTGCTGGACTGCATTAGGAGGTATGGGACCGATGTGTACCAGGTGTAAATCAGCATAAAGGCACTGAGGCTGGTAGAGCCCTGCTAATTTGCACTAGCCAAAAGTTTGGCCTGGGACTTTTTCCTTGGCAGCAAAGCTAAGTTATATTGACAAAGCATGCAACAAAGTGTGATTTCTTTCTAAATCAGGCTGATGTGGAGGCTTCAGCCTGAAATCCACCTAGCCTCCCCGAGCAGACCTCATTGTCTTTCCTCCTGGTGAATGTACAGTGTGATTCTTTGATTGACTGCTGCCACCTGATGCTAAGAAAATGCCCTGGGTTCATACTAGGGATTGTTGGTTCTATTAAAAGCAACGTAGATGGAGTTTATTTGTCACTGAAGCATTTTCTGCAGATGTTCCTACTTCAGAGATGTTCAGTCAGTTAGGTGTAAAGATGCGCTGAATAGGTCGCCATCACTTAGGGTCAGGGAAATGCTACCCCCAGACACATAATTAACATGGCTGACTGATTATTGCCCAGTGAAAAATCTAACTACCCATCCATTTAAATATTTATTTTCAGGCTCTGGACTTGTATTTTCTTTATTTAAAAAAAAAAACCAACAACGGTTACTCTTTCTAGAAAGGAAGAATTTTGGCTGATGTACTATCCTGTGGGGATTAATCACAGTGCTACTCACATTACAACATGCAAAGTAATGTGTGTAATCCAGTCTGACATGAAAAATTGCTAATAACTTCCCAAAAGGAAAGAGCTATGAACGGCTCCAATCCCTGAGGAGTAGGGGAGATCTTTAGGAACTCGGTATTACAAGGAGGTCTCTTCAAAGACCTCGAAGGGCTTCATTCGCTATTTTGTTTGTGGGTTGCCCTCTGCAGCCTGTTGTCCCAGGTTCAAAGGGGCCCAGCCCTGCAGATGTGACTCAGGTACAATGAAGTCAGAGCTTAAAAGCTAACTCCTAGCCTAAAATAAAAGCCTGTGTATCTTTACAGGGGTGGGAGGCCTGAAATGTAGTGGTTTCACACTTCCCACTCCGTGGAAAAGCAGCATCCCCTACATGGAACGCTTTCCTATGCACAGTTAGAAATGGAATGGCAAAGGCTCAACTTAAAATCATAGAATCAAACCCAGGTTGTCACTTTTGTGCTTAAAGTTGTCGTGGGTGTAACTATGTAGGAAGAGGTAGGGCTTTTTGCATCTGGACAACTTTATGCTTCTCACGTAGGTGCCTGTAATTGCCTCCCTCCTATCTCCGTCAACTTTAAAGGGAAGAAAGGCATCTAATACTGGTCCTCTGGAGTGGACACCAAAGTTGAAAGGTGTGAACTTATTTTCTCAAGCACAAAGGCAAAAAACAACCAGTTTTTGCCTTCATGAGCTATCAGTGTGTGCACCAAAAAGATGGTTATCTACTACATTTCTTGCTAGTATCATGTAGTCAGTGACTCCTTCCCCTTGGTTGGCGCCCAGCAATACCAAGGGTGAAGAACAGCACATGAGCTGTTGTTTGAACTGCATGAACAGAAAAGTGTATCATTTTTTATAGCAATGCCAAGAACGAGACAAGCATGGTATCTTTTGTAGACATATTACCAAGTGCCCAAACAGCAGAATGGTTATGTGAGGTTTTAAGTTACTTCTTTGAGCTGAAACAAGTGAAACATAATAGTTATTTTCTTCCTTCATGATTATTGCTGGATTAGAACATATGTAAAAGCGTTTTCTGTCTGTGCGGCCTGTTGAATGAAAAATTTCCACAGAGGGCAGCCTGTCTTTGGGAGCAGAGAAAAACATGTGGGGGCTGGATTTCACTCTCAGAGGTAGACAGAGACTAGGGCTTCTGGAAGCAGAGTTTGTCAGCTGGTGTCAGGGGGAGCTGATCTCATGCTTATCTGATGGCAAAACGTGGCTAGCAAGCTGCTAGTGTTTCCCCAACAGTGATAGGTAAGTGAGGCTCCAGAGCCCTGCCGGATCAGGTTAAACATGCACATTTCGAGGCAAGTTTTCTGAAAGTGGCTTCTCCAGGAAGAAGAACAGAAGTCTGAAGTAGAGGACAAGGTGCTGGCCCTGATCTGGCAATGTGACATGCGTTCAGTAAATGAGTGAGGTCTGCCCAGGTGTCTGTTGGCCACAGGAATGGTTGAAGTGGCCCCCAGTGTAGGTTAGAGAACTCCTCTTGCCGGAGTGGGCAAAGAATAGCAGTGAGGGAATACTTGCTATTATAAGCGTGCTGGCTACTGGCCGGCTGTGTATTAGCAGTTCTAGAGCCGTGAAGCCATATTTCCGTAATAAAAATGGAAAATAATACCTTTATGGAGATGACCTCAACCTTGCAACTGACCTACTGTTCATTATAGTGATTGCTTTTGAATCATTTAAGAAAGAGGGTAAGAAGGTGGTGCTGGTGCCTGAGACAACTATTTAGGATGAATTACCAAAGTTTGGAGGTAATTGTGTGTTTTAACATTCACTCATTGTTCAGGGGCTTCTGAGAGTGGCATGCCCCTGCTAGCTGGCCGTTTGGCTCACCTGTGAAGTGACAGTGACATTTAGAAAACCCGGATGAGTTTGACGCATCCCAGCACTTGGAGCACAATGCACCCATTGAAGAGGCTGGGGTTTTATGTGTAGGCTTCTGAAAAGGAAGGAAAGATCATCATGTCTCCCGAGAAAGCCATCTCATGGGGGTCTCATGCGCAGCAGCCACGGAAGCAAACTGTTAGCTGAAGGCTTCTTGCTTGCATGTTTTTAAACTACAAACAATATTCGGAGATACTCTACTTCTTTGATAGCTTTCAGCGCTGGTTGTGACCAAAGTTAAGTGCAGAGGTACAGAGGGCTTTCTGTGCATGCATAGCTTTCATATTAGTTCTCACATGGAGAGGAGAACATAGCCGTAAACACATGGGTAAAGTATCAAGCGGAGATTTCTCTCCTTAAAGACAATTGTGTTTGTTTCCCCTCCTGCTAATTATATCCTATAATCCCCGCTCTCCAAACTCAGACAGTAACATTTTGTTACCTCCATTCTGTCAGTAGACTTTACAAAGATCTCTAACACATGTTATAAAAGTTATTGCTATAGTACTATATATAACAGCTTTGCATAAGAGAATAGAAGGCTGCCACATTTAGAAAATGCAGGTGCTATGTAAGCCCCTTTCTGAAAGAAAGAACTTAGCTCAGTTTCCTTTGAAGAACCAGAGACTTGAAATTGAAAACTGTATTAATGCCATTGTCTCCTTGTATCAGCAGGTTCCAGAGAGATTCCTGGAAGTGGCTCAGATCACGTTACGGGAGTTTTTCAATGCCATTATCGCAGGCAAAGATGTTGATCCTTCCTGGAAGAAGGCCATATACAAGGTCATCTGTAAGCTGGACAGTGAGGTCCCCGAGATTTTCAAATCCCCAAACTGCCTACAAGAGCTTCTTCATGAGTAGAGAGTTCAGCAGCTATTTATGAATGTATGAAAGTAGCAGTCCCCTTCTGATGCCCAAGTCATGTGTGTCTCTATTTTAATTTCATATATATGTGTATCGCATACATATATATGTATATGAAATTAGACTGTGATCCCTCCTGGATTTAAGTTTTCGTTTGGTTCCAAGGGGATGGTTATTTTACTTCAGCCTTTGGTTTACTTTTGCCCGAGACCCTTAACATTTGGAGAATCAACGGGGTTAATTTTCAGGGAGAAGAGTTTGGAAGCGTGTAAAAGCCTGTCTTAGCAAGTTAGGGCATTATGTTTAAAAATGCTTTGTCAGATTTATTGCTTGCTGCAAAGTGGCATTTTGTCTTAGTGAGACTAATGTCATGGCACAAAACTACAGACAATGAAGTTTATATTATGTTTATACTGCTAAAGGTCTGAACTCTGTGGAGTCACTTCATAAGCTGCGAGCTTTTTTTTTTTTTAATTTTATTTTATATACTTTTTAACCAATAACTAGATTTTGTTCCATACTTTAAAAAACTACAACATCTATTTTAGGTACTCACTCCAAGAAGTGATACCCGGAAAAGCAAACCCTATTCTTCATGCTTTCCTTACAGAAACGATAAATACCCTGCACCAGTAATCAACATGCCAGGTTGTTGTTTCTCTAAATTGCAGCAAGGGACGTTTGCACAAATCCAATACCGTTCTTGCAGGGTGAGGCCAGTAATTCATGCACAATATTGTATCAACCACACTAATTTTGGAATATGGTCAGCTTATTAAAGCGGAAGCATTTCACTCTCCATAGAGTAAAAATGAAACCTTCAGCGTCCTATATTGCCATGTCTCGGTCTTACTTTAAGTGGCATTAGTCCCTAAATTTATTCTTTTCTTAGTCCATTCTGCTCCCAAAAATCCCCTTTCCAATATACAAAGTTTTCTGTCTGTATTCGACGTCTGTCCTGAGAAGCACTTTTTGAATGATCTTAGATATAGTAGAAGAAAGCATCTTCACCTCACAGTGCTGAGGCAAAGGAAAAAAAATAATTGTTTGTAGCTGTAGAATATAATTAGTCTTTTCCTAATCAGAAGAATAAAAATTACATTTTCATAAAAGTCTAATCAAGCATATATAAAAATCGCAGTGTCCTCCTGGCTATGCAGGGTTCAGATGGCCAAACTGGATTTTTAAAATGACAGTAAGTTGCAGCTTTAAAAAAAAAAAAAAAAAAATCTATTTGAGCAACGTGCTGCACTTGTCTTCTGAAGCTGGAGCTAGTCTTGACCAAAATCTGAGCTACAGTGTGAAGTCCATGATGGGTCTGGGTTCGCCTGAATGCTACACCACAATATGTCAGCAGACGGAAAGAAAGCTAGCTGCTAGTTCTCGTGCTTTCTTCAATGGCTCTCCTTTTCTCACGTTTTCAGAAAGGTATTGTCTCCAGGAGTTTGGGGGAAGGTTGGATATGCTATGGCACTCTGTATTTGTCATTTTCTCTGTCGTCTTTTGTACGGATGCAGTAAGAATTTATTGTTATCGTCAATAGTGTTTTCCCCTACATAATTCAATCTGAATCTAGAGGAAGTTCCTAATTAGCTGCGAATTATCTTTAGACCATCGAGGATATTGTTACCTTATTTCTTTATTTTAAAATTACATTTTGACTTTGGAGAGTGAAAGTTTACCCATGTGACTGAAGAGCTGACCTGATCATTGCAATTTCACTTCATTTACAAATACTGCTGATAGACAGAAATGTATGAAAGCAATTATTGTTAGCAGAAAGCCTTAAAAACCTGCTGACTTCAAATTAAACAGCACAATCCTACGATTCTCTGTCATTCTTTTCAAGTACTGGCAGTATCTGTGGAGTATAGGCAATGCAGACAATAGCATGGGATGAAGTGCCAACATTTTCACTATGCATTAAAAGCAAAACAAATCTTCTTGATCTTAGACTCCCTGAGAGTACCTAATACTGTACGCATCCTTACGGTAGACAGGATGTGTATTTTTCTTTCTTTTCTTCCATTTTCTTTTGTTTTCTTTCTTTCTTTTTTTTTTTTTTTGTGTGTGCATGATTTGGTAAACATTACACTTCATAAAGATGTAACTCCAATGAATCTGAGTAAGAAAGGATGAAAATTGTGTTCATGCACTTTTTTGATTTATGGGAAGAAGTGGCATAAAATGCTCAAGTTTTAATACAGCAAGTTAATCATCGGCATACCATCAGATACAAAATGTAACACTGCATTGTCACCTTGGACATAAGAAAGCAAAGCCATACTTTAGTCATGCTATGTGGACATACTACTAGCTACCATCTCAATCTGTGATTTTACTGTTACTTTTATTATGTTTTTATTATTATTATTATTAATATTATTATTATTATTTGGCTGCAATGTGATTCACATAATCTAAATAAGTGAAATTGTGTACTCAACACTTGATGTTGTTGCATTTATTTATTTATTTATAAGTAGTATAATCTCAATAGTAAATGAGGCATAGGAATTAAGAGTAGAAATTTCATCTTAAAAGCAAAATAAAAAACTCCTTTGTCTGAAAAAGGAATAAACTATAATTTGATCATTTCAGTGATGCGTTTTTTCTGCATTTTATAGCCATATTGCCTTTGTGCCTCCCAATACACCTAAAATTATAAATACATGGCATAGCTCCTACTAAATTTTAAGTAGAAAGCAGTTTCTTTCAAATTATCTC